CACGTCGTATGGATACGATAGTAAAACACGACGTACGGGATAGGGTTAAGTGGAACACAGAGTTCCCCACGTCGTATGGATACGATAGTAAAACACGACGTACGGATAGGGTTAAGTGGTGGCACAGAGTTCCCCACGTCGTATGGATACGATAGTAAAACACGATGTACGGATAGGGTTAACTGGTGGCACAGAGTTCCCCACGCCGTATGGATACGATAGTAAAACATGACTAACGCGAGAGGGTTAAACACACCATTCAATGTGTGCACATTTTAGCACCACCACAAAACACTCGATACATTCCGTCGTAGCAAAATATCACAACAGACAAACAATAATAAAATTATGTTATTAAGATAATGTATAATATTATTTTCTTTTCTTTTTGACACAATTCAACGTCAGCATGCCTGTTTGTCTGTCTGTTTGTCCGTCTGTCTATATAAATTAAAATATATATAAACGATCAGAAGGCGCGAATACTGTACACCAAATTAATGTGAGAGAACATTTTAGCACCACCACAAAACACTTCGATAACCCGTCGTAGCATGAATCACAATAGATATTATAAACAAAAATAATATTATGTTATTAACATGTATAACATTGTCTTTTTGACACAATTCAACGTATGAATCATGTATGTTTGTCTATCTATGTGCCCGTCTATCTGTACAAAGGATCAGAACGCGCGAAAACTGTCCCTACATGACATGAATGTGTGAACATTTTATTTAGCACCACCACAAAACACTTCGATTCCTGGTCGTAGCCTATCAAGACAGATTATGTATATACACAATAATCATATTATGTTACTAACATGGACATTATGAACGAACTTGTTGCTATTTCCGTCATTCAAGTCAGAATTACACCAAGACCATTGCATATACAGCTTTGGCAGTTACTGAGTCTGAAAGAGCAATCATTAGGCTATATAATATGGGTGATTAAAGAATTATTACATAAAGTTGATTTTGGACCTCATTTGTCACACCCAGGTATCCCACCTTTTGGCAAATGCTATATATATATTTATGGATAATTTAATATTGTCGTTTTGATACAATTCAACTTGTTTGTTTGTCCGTCTTTCTACGATCAGATTCAGAACACGTGAATACGGTCAAAATGTAAACGTTTTAGCAGGACCAGGTAACTTCGATTACCTGTAGCCTTTATAATCACCATAGGTAACCAATTATATGACGTTAGTAACATTATGTATTGTCTTTAGACTGGTATTTTAGTTTGTGACACGATTTAGTGTTTCTGTCAGTCTGTCATAAAAATGTATGTCTGTCTGTCTGTTTGTCCATTTGTCTTTTAAACATGTTTCCCTTTAAAATATGTTCCCCTGTCTGTCTGTCTGTCTGTCTGTCTGTCTGTCTGTCTGTCTGTCTGTCTGTCTG